ATATATAGGTAACATACCATCGAGTGTCGCTTCATTATTGATTAGTAATGCGCTGCTGTTCAGCACTGATATCTGCTTCTGCATCACCGTCTGCGCCCCTTCGGACTTCAAAGGGGTGGCGTGGGGAGTGTCGTTGATGGAGTGTGACTGTGATTTACGTGGTGCTAGGGATCTTTGGCTGGCCTTGTCAGATAAGCTCTCTGGCTGCTCGACGAAATCGCCTGTGTGTAGGGTGGTAGGGTTTAGCACAATGGTAGAGTACAACTAACCGACTTGCTTAGCTGTAGACATCACATGGCTGGATTAGAGGGTTCAATGCCTTGGTGAGCTCAAGAGGCATGAATGTACGCATGTTTGTATGGAGAGCCCGTCTGGGGACCCATAACAAGACACACAGGTAGATGGTCCATGGCTTTAGACCACTCATAATGCAGCCACTGACAGTATCACGCAGACACCCAGGGGAAGGCAGCCAATGGGCCTAAATATACGATATCTACAGCTACGCAAGTGTGTTTATAGACGGCTTGTAGGTGTATCTATACTATTCGATGCAGAACAAATGCGTGCAGGGGGTCAGCTGGTGGGTGTGGCATAATGTTCAGTGGGATTTGGGATGGATACCCACGGATGATACCTATGACACACGTGATGGATCACAGAAGCCAGCCATCTATATGTGCAGACAAACACTTGAGTAGGCCTTGATGGAACTGCGTATGTATTTATAGACGCGGTGGATAGGTGACTACTCAGGTACTCAAGAAAGCTATTGCTTGTGGGCATGCACACACGCTGGCACGTATGCAAAATACAATCCTGGTTGAACTTACACGCAAATACTACCGTATATATATATATATATATATATATATATATATATATGTGTGTGTGTATGTGTGTGTGTGTGTGTGTGTGTGTGTGTGTTGTTTGTGTGTGTGTGGACACTCTACACTCTCTCACACACACATCTACGCGCAAACTCACACATACACTTTACACTCACCAACCCTACATCCTCCCCCAGATACTCCCATGCACCTTCACTCATCCACACCCGTGCTCTCCTACCTACCTATCCTTGCGAGCATGTCTGAGTCCAGCATAACATGTAGTCCTGTGACCACTGCCTTGAGGTCGTTGAGTCGTGGTGGTGGTGCTGGGTAGTTGGGTAGGCTGGCCATTCCAGCCAAACTCAGCTTATCCGCTGCACCGCTTGTGCTTGTCGTCTGCGTGTGGTTCTGCGTATCTGCATCCGTCTCCGTCTCCGCCGTGTTCAGGTGTTGCGTGCGTGTGTCTGTCTGTGAGGTGTGTGTGTCCTTGTCTGTGTGCTGTGAGGTGTGTGTGTCCGTGTCTGTGTGTATGTGGTTGGTGCCGTTTAAGTTGTCGTCAGTGGCTTGTGCGGGTGTGTGCTGTGCCTGTGCATTTGCTGGTGCTGGTGTGCTTGGGCCGTGTTCCCGTGTGCTTGGCCTACGTGTGGCTGTGCTTGTCTCCTCTTCAGTCGCTGGTGTGTGTTGTATTCTCAGCCACAGCAACGGCGCACTCTTCCGTAACCGTTCTCTGTCGCCATCGGTGGCATTCTGGTGGGTATCTGTGGTATTTTCACCGGCATCTATGGCATTCTGGTCGGCATGGCAACCCTCAATCTCAGCCGATTGGGCGCCAAGTTTGATGACCGTTCTATCATCGGTAGAGTTCTGCACACACAGTTGGAAGTCTCGCACTGTCGCATCGATTGAGAAGAAGTCTAAGTCCGCTTCGGTAATAGGCGGTTCCTCTACACAGGCGGCTTCGGTTTGTTCGCCAACGACGGTACCTGCCGCCGCTCCACCAGTTAAAGCGGCGTCGTCGTATCTGTCCAACACATTTGCTATTTGTCCACTTTCTTGCGGTGTGGTTGAGCTGTCTGTGTTCACGCCAGTGCCAGCCCCATCCAACAACTCTTGTCCATCTTCTGCCCGTTTGTCTGACATCTCCCTAATTTCTGTGGCAATATCTGCCGTTTCTCCTCTACTCGTTGTCTCAACATCCGACATTAGTCCACTTTCTGCGGTGCCTTCAGCCATACCTACCCCGTCCTCCATAGTGCCAGTCTGCCCCTGGAGTGCCTCTCCGGGGATAGTCCCCTCGATAATCTCCGTCAGTACATCCTGAGGTAGCGGCTGCGACAAGTCCAACTCAGTCGGTGCAGGTAAGATCAACTCCCCAGGCACTTCGGCTGTCGTTACTATGTCGTCTAATCCATTGGCCACCTTGCTCAGTGGTTCAGCTTCTTGTGGCTGTGTTTCTGTTTCTGTTTGTTGTGTTTGTTGTGTGTGTTGTTGTTGCTGTGTTTGTGTTTCTGTTTGTTGTGTTTGTTGTGTGTGTTGTTGTTGCTGTGTTTGTGTTTCTGTTTGCTGTGTTTGATGTGTGTGTTGTTGTTGTTGTGTTTGTGATTGTGGTTCTGTTTGCGATTGCTGTTGGGTGTGTTGTTGTGGCTGTGTGGGTTGTGCTTCCTTTTCCTCATGAGTTGAGTGTCTGTGTTCCGAGTGTTTCTGCAGTACTTCAGCCGCCAGATTCTGTAGAAACGTAGAGAAGGTGACACGTATCCATGAATACAATTGAATAATAGTACTGACTATTAGTTTGTAACTTTTAGTATGTGACTATTGATATATATATATATATATATATGTGTGTGTGTGTGTGTGTGTGTGTGTGTGTGCGTGTGTGTGTGTGTGTGTGTGTATGCGAGTGTGTGTGGTGTGTGTGTGTGTGTGTG